TTGTCTCTGGCTAATCGATGGCGCTACTAAATATTCAACCTCCTACTACATGATTGAATTAATATTCGAAATTTAATATCATCATCGACGCTTAATTATCTCCGGAATGTATAATACGGTAATATAAAAATAGAAAATCCAAACAAAAATTAAAATCCTCTAAAATATCGTCATTCCGTTCTTTTTTTAGAAACATATTTTTGATCAACGACAAACGAATCGACATAATTCAACGACATGAACATTCAAGAATATTCTATTTTTACGCAAATTCACTTTAAACAGCCATCATGATTCGAGAAGATTCTCCAGAGTTGTTCACACGCAGATTATCTCCTATGCATAATTAGAAAAAATTAGGCTGTTCGATCGAGGATCGTTTTAACGATCCAAGCCGAATGTGTCTTTCGGCCTAAATAACTCGACACGATTTCGAAGCAAGAGTTCTTAACGTGGCCGTGAAACCAGGTTCCCGTATTCCGTGTACGATTCACACGGAATCACATGGAATTACAGAAGTCGCTGAGACGCCACCCTGGAGGACATTCATCGCGTAATACCTGGCGTTGCCTTTCACGCAAAATCACACAGTAAACGTGCATAGTTGTCGCTATTATTAAACAAAGAGAATCTATTTATGGAATAATAGCAAAATGACGAGTAGTAAAATTCTCACTTGGGAATAAATAGATTCTTCGGGAAGAACTGAATGTGACACGGTATACTTAAGTCATCTCAATTATTCCTATTCCTCTCTTTCTTTTATAATTTACTGGATGTATGATACGTACTATGTACGTATAAAGTTAATTCTTTGCAATTCAAGACACATTCGATACCAATTGGTCCATAGTCCACAACTTATTTAATTTTGTTAAATTAATTCGAAACGTAGAGGAATATGTTGTACGTAGATATAAAAATTAGGAAGAATGGAGTGAAACAATGGTGAACCCAACTCGAACCACGATCTCTCTTCTGCTATTGTAAATCAGTCGAGTTTGCAGAAGCTGCGAAGTACCTTCCAAGGCGCCACCCTTGAAAACGATCATCACATAATCCACAGCGTTACCTTTCACACGTAGCTGGGCAGAGTTACAGAAGCCAGCAAGTAGCTTCTAAGACGCCATCCCGCGGAATAATTACCGTATAAAATGCCTTTCACAGAGGATCTTACAAAACTAGAGAAGCGACTGAATTCGAAACACTGTTCTCGCAAACTTGCATCCTTTGGTAACTTATTTAAAGCTAAGTCAACAGTGAGTTACTATAAGAGACGATTATTCAATAAATATACGGTACCCTTTATGTTAATACAGATGAACCGGGCATAAAGGTTAGAAAATGCTGCACAAAATGTTATCCTAAAGGGTAATCATTGGGTATTACATAATATTATCTTCAGTCTAGACACACACAGAACTAGAGAAACTATTAAATCGTTTCTAAACTCCATTTCACGAGACAATTATCGCATACCACATGATACTGTCTTCTATATGGTATTACATAAAGTTACGACAAGTCACCGTAATATTTTATTTCATATAGCATCTCGTAAAATTGTAGAGAAACTATTTCAAAATGATTCAACTTTACACGTCACGTTCTTTTCTAAGCTACATTTTGTAAAATTGGATTAGAGGTTACGTAAAATGTTACCCTCAAGAACAACGATCGTACATAACACGTCTTTTCTAACAAAACTCGAAAAAGCTACGGAAATTACATAGAAGTCTGTGCAGAACGACACGTGGGCAGACAATTACATCATACATCAGGTATTTTCATACAAAGCAAAATGCTATACTGTAGAACAATCACACTATATAACATGTGCTATCTTACCGAGAATCATAAAGCTATAGAAAACATCTAAGCTGTTCGAAACCTCGATTTATGATACGATCACCTCCTTTATATCTCTTTTCCTAGGAAACCTGTGAAAATCATAGGAATTTAAGTTACATCCCTAAAACGTTATTCATCCCCTTATATAGGACCTTTTAAAATTGCAAAACCACCCTTTCGCACGAAATTTATCAAAACTGCCAAGAACTACCCTCCTACATGACATTCTTTAATTTCCTAGCCTAGGAGCCTCGCTCGAAAGCTACCAAAAGCTCGTTTTACAAAACAATCACCTCGCAGTACTGCCTTTCAAGCCCACTGCCCGCAACCTGGATCGAGAGTACCAACCGAGGCAGTACCGAGAAACGAGAATCTCGCGGAACGTAGACGCGAGGAAAGAGAAAAATGTATTCTGGGTGCGCCTACCATTGTGCTGCCGGCACTGGGTTCTCGCATTCGATTACGCGAGACGAGCGGCTGCTCGAGAGGCGAGCGAGCGAGCGAGCAAGCGAACGGCTGCACCGGGCAATACCATGGAATGGAATGGAACGGAACGGAATGGCAGGAGTGTTACAAAATATCAGCTTTCACCGTATCAGCGCGCCACAGCTTTACACAGTCAGAGACCCAGGAGTACAACTCGGTGATCGCGCGCGAGCGCGATGTATAGAAGCGAGTACTTTCCGTCTCCTTCGTCCTCGGCTTCGTCGTTGTCATCGACGCCGTCATCGCCGCCTCTGGCGATAATCGCGCTCGTTTTTATGCGTTCGATCCACCTATCGACGCTTCATTGTCAATCGTGATCGGAGATCGTGATCGTCTTCGATGGGATCGTCCTCGACCATCCTTTTTGTCCTCCGAGATCTACGATAATCGTAGTCGTAATCGCGGTTATTTAATCTCAAGCTTTCGTAGTCGTTCTTGGTATCGATGTGCATGACTGATAAGTGGGTTGAGGTTTTTAACGATCGATATCAGTTTTACATGGTATTTCGAGATCTATGATTTTCTTGGTAGATGTACGGTATATCTACTTTTCAATTAGTCGAGTCCTCTGGTTTCCAACAGTGTTTAAATTTAGTCATTGAAAGCTGGAGTTAACGATAGTTTTTGATCTCATTCCAGGATGAATCGATATGTCGATAGCTGAAGAGGAATATGGGATGTGTATGCAGTGTCTGTGTTTGGATTAGTCGAGTTTGAAGGTATCGAATCTCCTGGTTTGTAACGGTATTTTAATTTGGTTACAAGAAATTGCTGTCGATGATGGCTTTCAATCTTCCTCCGTGATAAATGGTTTTGTTGATAACTAAAAAGAAATATGGTAGATATCAAAGTAAACGTACAGTATGTATGTATTTATAGATTAATTAGGATTGAAGGTGAGATAATTTAATTTGGTTACCAGAAGTTGGTGTTAAGAGAAAGAGTTATACAATTTGATTGAAAGAACTGTACTTACTAGGCAAAGTGTATTAACATTTTTATAACTAGAGCACAAAGTTAAGAAAGAAAATTTTCCAGCTGTATCTTGTCCTCAACACAGCTGTGTCTCTATATTATTTTATTATTACCTTTATACGTCAGTTTCACTGAGTATAATATAGACATTAGTACTAAAAAGTTCCATTTCCTACAAGTAAAAAGTGAACACGAAGAAATTTACAACCCATAAAACAACTAGTGACTCAGTACCTCAATTAGTAACTTTACATTAACCCATTTACATCAGGAGAAAAGAAAAATATTTTCTTATCGTGGAATCCTGTTTTTATTTAAGTCCATGTCAGGTGTAACTTCTCCAATTCTATTGGTAAAAAGTTCCAATTAATAAAATCTTTCTATGTAATATATTTAATATTCCCAATATTACTATTATTCTCATTTAATTACCCTCCTCATTAGATCGTTTACGATTTACCTATGGTCTTGTTTCAACATCATTAGCGAATTTTCTCTTCGAATATGTTCGAATATCTTTCCTAATAAAAGCCATAATATACTCTATAACATATATCACTTACTTGTTAATACACCAACAAAAAATAAACCTCATCTATAATTCTATCTAAACCTTGACATCTGTTATCTACAACAACGATCTACGAAAAATATCAAAATGTATAAATCTAATAATAGTAAATCTAAATCTCCAAACGCAAATCTGGCACAAACTCTGTATACATATGTACAGTAACAATAAATAAAGAAAATACTTCAACATAAATTTTCAAGACTACAATAAGAATTCCTACGTCGATTAATCCTCGACCACATCCGCCAAAGGCCCTACGAAATGAACCCACATATTATCTACTTCCGATACGAGCACATTCTCAAATCGACCAGTTCCCAAACCAAGTTGGATAAAGCCTATTCATCCTATCCAACAGCCAAAAATGAAAATCCTTTCATTGTTCCATTGCAAACTGTTTATTATCTAATCCATTAAACGATTCCCACTAAACGTGGAAGCCTTGACAAACAATCTCCAATTAGTGTCCGAAGCCTTGACAAAAGTAGCCGTCCGGTAGAAACGCGAAACGAAACTTGGCGAGCGTTTCCCTCGACAGGAGCCGGGACAAACACGTCCGCCTGGTTAACAGCCTAATAAAGATAGCGTGCGGCCGGTCGAGGCGGTTTCGACGGAGCTTTATCGGGAGCTGTTGATGGGTACGAAAATGCTGCTCGAGGAGATCGAACGAGTTGCGTAAGCGTGTCGCGAGGCCTACATTGGGAAAAGCCAACGCTGATGGGCGTTCGCTAATCAGCCGCGACTCTACCGGTCACCGAACTACTATTAGTAAATCATTCGTTAATGGGAATAGTGTTTGCTGTAAAAATGTACAGAGGCGGTTTGGGTTAGGCCTGATCGCGTGGTTTCCACGAAAAGAAATTCGCACCGTTTAGATAAATGGCTAGCTGCTGATCCTGAAAGGAGACTGTGACTCCTTTGACTGTTGCGTAAGGTCGATTCTTGTGGCGATTTTGCGACATTTTTTTAGAGATCGTTCCTCGAGACAGTTTCCCTTTGTGCTCTTTCTTGGACATTGTTTGCTAATTTTCTTGGTATTTTATAAGTACTTTTTCAATGGGTTTCGTGTTGATATAGAAATACTTATGTAAGTACAATACGTTTAACCCCTTACCTTAGGATTTAAGTTCCGATAGCGCGTGCCATAATCAACAGCAGAGTCGGTCACACGCCGAGCCATTTCGTCCGGACGTGGCGAAAAATAATACGTAACTGAGACAGAAAGACAACGGTGAAACTTAACTACGAGCCTCATTCGTGTCGCTTACGTTGGGCCCTATCTACAAACCACGCCTCTCGCCCGTGATATTTACATTCGGGCCGATTTTCTTACCACGAGTCTCATACGGTATTGTAGGCGAAAGATTAAAGGCAAGGGTTTCTCGAGACAGTTTTCCTTTGTGTTCTCCAATCTTTTTTGGTTATTGATGGCCAATTTTCTTAATATTTTGTATCTTCTAAATAATTTGTATACATTTTTGTTTTTATGTAAATATTTTCAAGGAAAATGGTTTCTTGACATACTTTTTGTCATGTGTTCTTCAATTGTTTCCAGATATTAATGGATAATATTTATTGGTATTTTACAGGTATTTTTTAAATAGGGTATAATTAATAGATCTGTACGTTTAAAGTAACGGAACGAGGGGAAAGAATTTCCTCAAGATCTTGGGAATACAATGTAATTTGCACCGATGCCTGTAATACAACCAATTAGTCACAAACGTTGATTTTATTTAATAACTATATTTTAAAACTACCAACTGATTATCGAGTGAGTTGTAGACGGAAGTATACGTAATTACGAGTGATCTGAACGTCAGATTAAGTATAATCCTAAGCAACCTTGTATCGGCAACATACACTACAATTTATTCTTACTAGATCTTGATATCGTCACAAGATTTTATAGAACAAATCGTAACTGAACTCCACCCCTAAGAATTCCATTTTACTATTTTATCTATATTTATTGAAATAACGATACGAACTTTTAATACACACCTACAACTGACATTCTTACCGTATATTATTTACACTTACACGTTATAGCAGAAGATTTATTTAGTTTGATGAGACTCTAAAGTGCAATCAGCTGATTCAAAGATTGATGATTCATTTATAGACTCGATTATTCTAACACTATCATTATGCATTCCTAGATTGCAAACAACAAAAAACTCTGTTCTAACCATGACAACGATAAATATTTACGAATAATCATTACACATTAATGCAATGTAAGAATATAAAAACGAAGAAAAAATATACATAAAAAAAAAAATAGAAAATTAACAGCAAAATAATAAACCTTGGGATTATCCCTTTATGATTACCACAAAGTCTACCACTCACCTATTATACACAGTAAACTACCGAATTCGACTTACCTCAAACTACATACTCATAAAATTTTGTTAGACGAAAAAATGTGTGAGCACATTTGGTATTATATGGTATCAAATGGAACACATGATACAATAATCTGTCTTTTATTACTTCGCCTTTTTATCAAGATACCAAGATCACCTTGAGTTTTTTAAATGGAACGTGTAACATTTCACCCTGCAATTCGAAAGAGTATTCAATGCTGAATTAGAAAGCTATTATATATATATATACATATACATATGGTACATATGCATGCTATAGAGGTTAGGTGAATCACTCTATGCATGAAGTTTCTATTATTAGAAACTTTTTGGGAAAAGTAAAGTATCGATCGTATTTAAGAACCGATTAATGCTTTTTACCTCTCTCAAACCTCCTAATTGCGAATCGAATGGGTTTCAGAGAGTGCACCATTCCATCGTGCGGCCACCTACGTTCACGTGGAGCTCCACGTGAGGGAGAGCTCAATGCTACGCGCGGTTGAAAGTAAAGTTTTCTTTTTTTTTTTTCTTCCATCGATCACAACGAGCCATTGGGTCCCGTGTAACTCGTAAACCGTCGATTCGCTGTATTTTTAATCGCAACACGCCATGAGACCGTTATGTCGTTTGTCTTACGCTCCATGCGTGACGTCTCGTAACCTGGACACATTAGGACACGAGGTTTCGATTGAACTCTCGTTGTTGGATGGGAAGATGGCTGCAATTTGTCAACAAGTTGATGTAATAAGATAAAAATAGGAAGTGATGACTTCTTTGGCTTCTTGGGTGATTTAGGCAGGAGAAATACTTGGGCTGGTTGCGAAGAAAAAGAACTTAATTCAGTAGTGACAAGTATTTCATGGGATTATAAGTAACTTGTGATATTGATTATTGTTATAGTATAAGAATTTATACTATAAAACACATAACCATGTGATATAATACAATATAATATATTATAATGTAATATATAAGTATATGACATAATATAATATAGCATATTGTATTTTATAGAAACATATTTAATGAGTAAAGAAATGTGAAAATACAGAGTAAGTGTGTTGAACGACTAGGGACTGAAAGTTCATTGAACTACTACTTTAAAATAAACTATAAACATTGATAATACTATTAATAACTATAATTCTAAAACATATAGAAAACTTACCACAGTGCCAATATCTATGGTATTAATAGAGCTTATACATAGAACAGGATCTTAGGAATACGGTATCTATTGAGAAGTATCTAACACTTGTACACGTAAAGTTTACTATCTCCACTAGCTACCACACCAATGAAATACAAGTAAAAATATCTATCGCAGTAAAAAGTTCACAAACAGAAGATCAACATACATACATATGATAACAATGACATTGAAAAATGAAAATTACTGAATTTTTATTTACTTAGAATGATAATAGCTTTCATCCCCAAGATGACATAAATACTTCACCTTATATAAACTTCACCATTATATCTCTCCATTACAAGAGACATAACACTACAGCTTCCTCGAATATAAATTTGAATTTATTCAACAATCTTAGTCCATATTTAATACCACCTATGTATCTCGACCTCACAACAAAAATCTGACATCATCCAATATTTTTAACCAACCAATAAATACATCTAAAAGGAATCAATGTCTCTCTCGAATAAAACATAAAACCCTAAACATATAATGTCAAACTTGACTGAATAAAACATTGCCAAGGACCTAACCTCGTTGACAATCACAATACGCACGAACGCAACAAACTAAACACGATACGACCATAACGTAACGCGAGTGAAACTAACCTAAAACAAATTTTCCGGCTCCACGAAGCAAGATGATACGAAAATCGACTGAAGCTTTAATGCCAGGTCGTCGCCCGTGACATTTCAAATACTTTCAAGTTACCGTACGCTTCTCCACTCTCCGCGTCCTGTCGATTAAACATGGCGAGAGTCGTCGCGATTATAGCTCGCGGGAAAGGACTTTCGACGAGCAAGAAATCGTCGATTCACTTTTGCAATCGTCAGTCGTTGCACAGCTGATTCGGGCAAGCATTGTGAGGCAAGTGTAAATAATTTTCAATTTCCATCGTTTCCCGTGTGTCGTCTGGATCTCGTTCCATCGCTGAATCATCGTCCATGGTCACTCGAATCGATTCTGTTTGGAAGTTTCTCCACGGAAGACAGGTCGTAGTAAATATCGCTGGAAGTCGAGATCGATCCTCGTTCTCCTCGTTGGACTGGCGTTCGCGACGAGCAGTTTGTTTCCACGAACCGTTTGTTTGGAGAATGGTCGACTGTGATACTGTAACCGTGACCCGTTCGCGAAGTTCGTTTACCAAGTGTAATAACTCGCTTCCGTGGCTTTCGTAGTTTCTCTTTTTTGCCGCCGTCGAACGAGATGGAGCGGCGATCGTAATCTGACGAACAAGCATAACGACGCGCGCTAACTTAATAAACCCGTTGCCCCTGGTTATATAAATGAATCGCGTAGGATCGAAAAACCTCGCCACGGTTATACGGTTTTGCTTTCCGGTGAAAAGAAAGCAATATTTGCAAATATGGTTATGATTCTGATCGATCCAGTGCGTTCGATGCTGAGAGATTACCGAGTAGGAAATTGTACGGGAATCCTGTATCTTAGTACATTATCGACCGGGCACGTCGATTGGCGCCCTAACTAAAACTAACTTTACCAACCGGGAACGGCAATTGGCGCCCTATGTGAAATAATCATATCGCGATGCGTAATCGGAAAGGGGATTGATTTTTATTAAAAGTATACAATGAGATATCCTTGGAAAGATATAACATTGTATTTATCGCTAGAATTATCGACCCGTAAAGTGTGACTAGATATTATACCTGTATATTGGATAATAACAATTAAAATGTTATATAGAAAATAAATAACTCTATATATAGATTCCTATCTCAATAAAAGTCTACATTAATTTTTCTAAATGTGGTTCTATTATTTTAGTAACTGTAAAAATAACGAGACTGGAACCAGACATCCTGGCTGGTTTAATAATTATAGCGTTAATAACTGTCATTGCACAAGCCATTGTTCACAGCAAAAAAGCGCTCTGTCGATAAAGTGTTAAGCTGAGAGGTTGGAAGACAGGGGTTCCGAGATGATCTATGGGGAGTTTCATATGCATAGGGGCCTAGAGGTCGAGGTCTGTGGAACTTTGGATGGCCTGTAATGGTTTCTACATCATCAAGATCAAGGACTTTGATATTCCTGAAGTTCCAAGGAAGAATATATCATGGGGTCTAACGATCTTTTAATTGTCAGATCTTTGACCACGAAATGGTCTGCGACTTCTTTATTTTTCTAAGGTCTCTAGATTCTTGAGTTTCAAACATGCTTCGCGAATTCGTTGGTTCTGGTAATCAGGGCTTCAATCGAAACGACCTATTACAAAAGTTCTGATCGATTTAACACTTTCGAATGAAAATAACGTTTAGATTGAAAACGATGATAAAAATTGTTGTAATGGTTCGAGGCATGCGAAAATGATGGAATATAACAATAAGTGTAACTTAATAAGGACATGGTTCGTTACGTAAATGAATTACAAACTTGAATGTACGAATGGTTCTTTCGTTGAAAATATCAAAGACGAGAGTGGTTTAGCGGTACATCGAGTCACGAAAAGATGGATCTCTTTAGTAATAAGCGTAAGTTAATAGACATGCGACCTGTTACATAAATGGACTGCCTGCTCGAAGCGGACATAATTCTACGGTTTTACTTTCCATTGGGAGGAACATCCATTCAATATCAATACAATGAATATGCTTTCTTTGAAACGGTACGATTGAAAC